AACATAGAGTTTTTTGTATTATTAATCAATAAAACAAAATGACTCATTTTACAGTTTAAATATTGAGTTATATTTTCAAGTGTGAAAGTAACTTACATGAATTCCTAGGAGAAAAAGTGATGATAGCACAGAGTACTATTATAATTGAAGACAAGGGATAGGAGATCCCTGGGGGATTTAGAAATTAAATCACGTGCAACTTAGTAAACTTGGGCTGTGAAGATCTGCTGGAAACTTAAACATTCTCAGCTGTACTGCAAGGAGCAGGTTCCACTGAAGACATTCAGGTGGGTGAGACTGCGAGAGATGCTGAGGAAGGCATCCCAAAATACTTAGGTGCTATGGGCATTCCGGAGTCAACCAGAAAGTAAGGGAACCATGTTGCATTTAAAAGTAATGTATGGGAAATTTTGGTGTTTTAAATTTCTCCAGATAGTCACGTTTGTCCTCACTGATCTGCAACGCACCCCTTGATAGTCGTTAATAAATTCAATGGTATGCTTTTCCATTAATTACAGTTTTATGGTTAAATGAAATAATGCCTGTGTAGTGGACATCGTCTATTTGCCACACTTTCCACCTTCTTAAGGATCTGGTGGCTTCCCCTGTGTGTAAACTTCCACTGTTCAATAGCATGGAGAGAAAGTATATATGCATTAAGCATAAAAATCAACAATCAAGGAAGAAAAACAGAACTTTCTCAGCATATTTGCTACTTAGGAACAGTGGGGAGTTTTGTGGAATTTTCAAAAAGCGACTAGATGAGTGTCAGCTAGACTTGAGTATCAGCAGTACTATTAATTTTGATAACTTATACCATGATACACATGATTTTATGAGTGATTTTAAGAATCAACTTATCCCATTTTTAAAACTACCCTGTGAGAGATGAAGAAAAAAAAATCTCAGAGGCATTACCTCATTAGGGTGGTAACAGGGCACTGTCTAAAGGTTTAGGTGTTTGGTATTCCTGTAGAACAGGAATAGAAGCCATGTGTCTTCTCTGAGTTTGATGTGTGCAGTTTGATATCCACAGAATAGAGAAAGAAATAGAGTAAGGTGTGTGTGTGTGTGTGTGTGTGTGTGTGTACACATACACGCTCTATGTGTGGGAAACGGAGCCATGATTTAAAGGGCTGCAGAAGATTAAGAAAGACTTCTGAGAAGCCCAGTTCACACTTGGACATCATGGAGCATTTTAATATCAGTGAGGCCTGATGATGCAACCTTACAAGGCCATGTGTGGGAGGCTGAGGCAGGGGAACTGTAAATTTGAGGCCAGTTTGGAGATGTAGCAAGATGGCCAGGACAGGGAGAGGGAGAGAATGAAAATCTGTAAAATGCATAAGAAGTTCACAGGGTTGACTGGGAAACAGAACAAATGAGTTGAAATATGCAGATGCTTGCAAATCTCTCCAAAACACCTCATGAACAAAATTTGCAAGTCAATGGTCTGCCATGGAAAACTTGAGACAACAGTGTTTGCAAGGGGTGGAGTGATCGATCTACTGGGGCCTTGGGAGAAGACGGAAGCCACACAGCAGGTAGACTGAAGAATGTGGGGTGCTCTGTTCATAATCTCTAGGGTGCATGAGCAGCCCTTCTTGTCAACATGTGTGAGAGCTCTCTTCACAGGCGTGCATTTGGGGAAAGCCAAACTTTCTGCACCGGTCGTTTTGCAAGCCACCTTTATCTGTGACCTTATGTCTGGCTTGTTTGTTTTGGTTTTTAATCTTTGATGGTGAGAGAGCAAAGGTGTAGTGTTGCCTGTCTGAGCAGGAACAGGGACTCAGTAATCCAAATCAGCACCTTGCCAATGCTGCTAGCTCATTCCTCTTCCCTCAGCCCTTTATCCTCTCAGCCTCTGCTCCGCTCCAACATATGTTCTTTCACAGCAAAGTGTCCTTCAGCACCCTGCTGCCGTGAGCTGCCAGCACCATGCCTTTCTTCTCCTCCCGACCTCACTAGCTTAGAGTTCCCTTCCCTCAGAGTATCACTGCGACAGTATTATATCCTCTGATTAATCAAGGTCGATTGAACTATTTAGCTAAAGTGTAACTCATTATAATGTGGTAGAATAAAAAAGGCTATTAACCTGAAGAGACCAAGAAAGCTCGTTCCATCTGCTGCTTCCCCTCCCCTTCTCCCTTCAAATCCAACTAGGTTAAGTTTTAACTTCCTAAAGGCCATAAAACAAAGGCCTGAGGTAATAGCTCCTGACATCCTGGGTCTTCCCTATCCAGAAGCCCCATCACAAATTGTGTTAATTGCATCAGATTGTATTAGATTGTACATTCTTCACAAAAATAGCTTCGTTTATATCATAGTAATACCTGTAACTTGGTATTGTATCACAGTAATACCTGTAACTGTAAATGTGTGTCTTCCTTTTTCTCTGGGTAAAAGATTGATATGTTAATCAATGCTCTCTTCTGTAAAGAATTGTAAAATCTTACCCAATTGATATGCTAACCATTGTTGCCCTCTACAAATAGAAAGGTTGTGGTGCTAAAGTAAGGTAATTATGTCAGGAAACTCAGAGATAAAGTCTGCTGACTATGCTAATCAAGATTGGGAAGTATGTCAGAACCAAGCCACACAGGAGCTAGGTGACCTAAAAATAAGCTGTGCAAAACAAGACAGTTAATCAACTCTGACCCACTGGTCGCCCCTCATGATCTGACCAATCACAAATGGACAAATCACCAACTGTTTCTGCTCTAACTGCTATGATTGGCTTCTGTAACAACGCTTGCTTTGCGGTTTTAATCCTTAAAAACACCAGCCTTGCCTCAACTCGGGGTTCTCTCTGTTTCCACCTATTTGGAGAACCCCGTGTACACGGAATAATAAAAACCCCTTTGTTTTTACATGAGAGTGAGGCCCTTGGAGTCTTCCTCGCGACACCGGTCTAACAAACCCATAGTAGAAAGGTTTAGTAAAATTCATGATATGGACAGACTTGTGATAAACTTAATACAAAATGAGTGGAGTAATGATGTGCATTATTGTAGGTGCAGAGATCTAACACCTACACCACCTCTTCCTTTATTATATCTCTATGTAAATGCATTCTTTGTGAATTTGAAATTTAACCCTGGACCCAATATGGGCTAGGCAAACACTCTACTAGTGATCTACACCACAGCCTTATTGTTTGTCAATTAAAAAGAGATATATGACAGTAAAAGTAATGAAAATAAAATACAGTTAGCAGGTTAGCAAGGTTTCTAAAGGTTTGATAGTATACCTACTGAAAAATTAACCAGCACAGGTTAAACTTATCTACATAATAGGAGCTTAGTTTGTTGTAAGTACTGAAACCACAAAAAGTCTTTTATAGAGCAATGGATGAGGGATTCAACATGTAATGAGTTACAACTGCATTGCTGGTGTGGTCACAAAATTTGTGATTGCTGCACAGATAAATAATCAGGGAAAACAAAACATTTGTTAAAAGATGCCAGTGGACAAGAAATGAATGAAACCAATGATTTGTCTTTGAAATAGAGGCACATAAAAGAAATAAAATAGAGAATAAAGAAGATGCTACATTAACCAAGATGATATTCATTTTTATTATTAGTGATGAAGACAAACCCACGTTCTTTCTAATAGTAAGCATGTACCCTAGCACCGAGATCCACCCAGCTCCCCCTGTAATACTCTTACAATGTACTTTGGAAAAGAAACTGAAAAAGTGATATTTTTAGATATAATATTCTAGATAAAAAACCATTTTATTACCTCCAACAATATTTCATTTCTTAAGAAATGTACAAATTAAGAAATGTACAAAATAATGTTTTGAATACTTCGTGATTTCATTCTTTGCAACTCCTTTTAATATGGATATTATCCATATCCCAATTGACAGAGAGGAACGTGAGCCTCAGAAAAACTCCTAATTATCTGACTACAGAGACAAATAATCTGTGGAAGTCTAAATTAGTATCCTCTTGAATCAGAATCTTCAGGGAAATCTGGTCCACTAGCTTATCTCACAGATATACTGGATTTAGCCATGGAATGAGAAGAAACATCTTGGTGAGGGTCTTCTGCCTTCATGACTCACAGGTAGAAGAAACACATGTCAGATAACACACTTCTGGGAGCTCACATTCTCTGCTTACCTGATATTTGACTAAACATCTTATTTTACTTCATCTATTTCTCTTTTCCTCTAAATTTGTTGGAGTTATAATTTTATTATTATTATGTGATGATGATGTGGTATGTTCAGTTCCAAAGGAAATGTGGAAAAGTCATGGGATACCCAGAAATGCAGGAGTGTTTTAATAATATTAGTATGATTAAGAATGTATTATCCAGCTACTGTATGGTTTGCATCTAAAATGTCCTCCAAGTGGTACATGCATTAGAGGCTAGGCCTCTGGCAAGTGCTAAGAGGATGGGGCACTGACTGAATCTCTCACTGGACTGGTCTCTTGTGTGCTAGGAGGTGGCTTTGGGATGTAGGAAGGGGTTTGGGGCACAAGCCCATGATTTGTAAAGACTCCCTTGGTTCTCTCTCACATCTGCTTCTTGGCCACCACAAAGTGAGTGGCTTTCCTGCATCAGGCCCTATTAATATGGTGTGTCTCATTAGATCAAACTGAGTGGAAGCTGAAAAAAATTGAAAACTTAGTCACAATGAGCACTTTCTTCTGTTAGTTTTCTTTGTCATCCACTAGAAAGGAGACTGTTAAAATGTTTTAGTGGACTCATTATACAAACTGCATTATATGACTTGGTAAAACTCCGAGTTCTACTAGGAAACTTGCTTTCCTTGTTAGCTATGTAACTGGATTTAAGCTTATGTCAGCTGAAAATAAACCTTATGTGCTCATTTACAAATAAAATTTTGAGAGCCAGAATCACAATTTTCCTATGCATAAATAATTTTTGGCATATATATGTAAGAGGGAAATCTTTGTCATTTCCATAATCTATGCCTGTCAATTCTTAAAAGTTGTGTCTCCACAGTAAAAATATTCACCATGGCCTGGGAAAATCTGACATTCAACTCTGACTTCATCCTCATGGGAATCTTTGATCACAGCCCCACCCACACCTTCCTCTTCACCCTGGTTCTGGCCATCTTCACCGTGGCCTGCGTGGGGAACACAGCTGTGGTTCTGCTCATCTACCTGGATGCCCAGCTGCACACATCCATGTACTTCCTCCTCAGCCAGCTCTCCCTCATGGACCTCATGCTCATCTGCACCATTGTCCCTAAAATGGCTGTCAACTTCCTGTCTGGCAAGAAGTCCATCTCTCTGGCAGGCTGTGGAGCCCAGATCTTCTTCCATGTGTCCCTGCTTGGAGCTGAGTGTTTTCTACTGCCTGCGTTGGCCTATGACCGCTATGCTGCCATTTGCCAGCCTCTAAGGTACCCAGTCCTCATGAGCCAGAAAATCTGTGGCCTCATGGCAGCTTCCTCCTGGATTCTTGGCTCTAGTGATGGAATAATTGATGTTGCAGTCACACTGACTTTCTCCTACTGTGGGTCCCGGGAAATACCCCACTTTTTCTGTGATGTCCCTGTCTTATTCACTATCTCATGCACGGACACCAAGACATTTGAAAGGATGATATTTCTCTGCTGTGTGATTATGCTTGTCTTCCCCATAGCAATCATCATTGCTTCCTACACTCGTGTTATTCTGGCTGTCATCCTCATGGGATCTGGGGAAAGTCACCACAAAGCTTTTTCCACCTGCTCCTCCCACCTCATGGTGGTGGGCATGTACTATGGAGCAGCGATGTTCATCTACATGAGGCCCATGTCTGAGTGGTCCCCAACCAGGGACAAAATGGTGTCTGCCTTCTACACCATCCTAACACCCATGCTAAATCCCCTCATCTACAGCCTGCGCAACAGAGAGGTCAGCAGAGCCTTCCTGAAGGTTTTAGGGAAGGGAAAAGCTGCAGAATAAATGGCCTAATTATTATTGCTATAGAATCTGTTACTGATTAACTGTTAATATTTAACTGACAAAATTCAACATAAAACTTACTAATAGTCTTTACGAAAGTGTTCTAGTTTACACAAAAAGCCTTAAATTGAAAATACCATTCAAATTATAATTATCAATAAATATTCATAACCACAGGGTGCAGAAATGTATAATTTCAAAAAAAACAACCCTAAACATGAGATGTCCTTCACAGTACCTCATTCACTTGTGTGTTTTAATGTACAGCAATTTAACATTTTCTAGTCTATAATTTCCAGTAACATGACATTATACCTGAAAATGATCAACTCATAGAACAAATAATCTGGTGGTTCCCATTTGTGGGATGCAGAGGTAGAAAAAGGAAGTCACCAAAAAGCAAGTCCTCCCTGTGAATCAGTACCATTTATGGGCCACTGGGGGTACAGCCCGACCTCATCTTTCTCCAGTGAGTCAGTGCCATTCGCAGACTGCAGAAGAAAGGAACAAAAAATCACCAAGAAGCAAGCCCTCTCTGTGAATCATGTGCAGGATGATTTAAATCATGACCTTCTGGTATGCAGGATGGGGGGATAAAAGAGCCAAACACCACTACACACACACCAAGTAAGCAACCAGCTTATCAGGGAGAAACAGGCTGCGATGATAAGTATTGAGGTGAAATACAATTTCATTCCTTTGGTGTTGCACTGACTTTGCAGGTCTAGGGCTGGTAGTCTGACCATCAATTCAAAGGATGGTAGTACGCAGTGTGGCATCTACGGGGGAATCTCCTTCTGAAGGTGGTAGCCATTATTAATTGCCTATTATCTTCTTTTGAAGTCCTATATCATTCTCATTATTTTGTTGGATTTGGTTTTATTCTATTTTGTTTTGTTTGATTTTGTTATATCTGATAGCATGGGCAACTATTTCAAAGATAACAAGATAGCAAGATATATTATGGTAGCCATTTTGAATTTACTATTGTCTTGTTTTGAAATCCTTTATTGTATTCATTGTTTTGTTTTTATTGATTCTATTCTGTTCTGTGTCTGAAGGTATCTGTAGCTATTTTGAAGACGAGGCATTATCATAACCATGGTTGATTTCCTATTGTTTTGAAGTCCTGTGTCACACTGGTTTGTTTCGATTGGCTTTATTCTCTTTTATTTGGCTTGATTTATTCTCTTTAAATAAAAATTTTAAAAAGATAATGAAAACTTGTAATTTATGGGTGAAAAAGACACTACAATTCTGCTATATCTCATGTATAATAAAGAAATTATTAAAATATATTAAACAGGAGAAATACAAATGGGAAAAGTGGGTTCAGGAGAAGAGGTGGGTGGAACCTGATTATGAGGCTCTAAATAAGGATGAGGGGAAGGGGTCAATGAATTCAATTTAGTGCCAGTTCTGATTGAAGTTTGGAGAAATACAAGAAGCTGCTGCTAGTATATACTTAAAAGCAGAATGATAAACTTCAAATAAAATCTGAGGTAAGGCATTGAATTTTTAAAAGCCATCCAAAATAAGGTGACATGTAGAAACAAAGAGCTAAAATATTTTGAAAGAATTTAGAGATTAAAGAACAGTTCAGTTTTACACAATGAAGTCAGTGCTATATGGAAGATATACATGCATTACACATGAATATTTAATAAACATATATACGGACACTAAATATATATATTCACAACTAGGCCAGGAACATACAGATTGGAAAAATCACTCAAAACAAAAATCTGTAAGTGTAGATATAAAGGTTAAAAGAGATTTTCCTTAGTATATTTTGTCCAAATAACTTGTCATTAATCTGTATATTTGAGAATTAAACTTATAGTGACTCATAAGAAAATAAATGAATCTGAAGCTGATAAAATAAAAGAGGGATAGAAGGAAAAGGAAACAATTTTGGATATCTTATGTACATATAACAATTTTCCACTATGAATGTAATTTTATCTACTACAAATGTGTGCTAACACAAATTATAAAAAGAAAATTGTCAAATTATTCCTATTTGAAAATCATATAATTCTTTGCATGGAAGACATAAAAACTACTGGGATAACTTCATATCTGATAAACAATTTAAATAAAGTCTGCATGTCAAAAGAAATCTCCAGCATAGTGAAAAGAAAACCCACAAACTGGGAAAAGAATTAAAGAAACTCAGACCTCCAAAATTCAAAGATCCAATCCAAAAATGGGCATCTGAGATGAATACGCAATTCTCAGATGAAATGCAAATGGCAAATAAATACACGAAAACATGCTCATCATCATTGGTCATTAGAGAAATGCAAATTAAAACCACACTGAGATACCATCTCACTCCTGAAAGAATGGCCAGGATCAAGAAAACTGACAACAAATGCTGGAGAGGCTGTGGGGAAAAAGGAACTCTCCTGCATTGCTGGTGGGAGTGTAGACTGGTATAGCCTTTGTGGAGATCTGTCTGGAGATTTCTCAAAAAGTTGGGACTGGAAATCCCATTTATTCCAGCTATCCCACTTCTAGGCATATTCCCAGAAGAACTGAAAGCATCATACCACAGTGATATATGTGCACCTATGTTTATAGCAGCACAATTTGTAATCACCAGATCTTGGAAACAACCCAAGTGTCCATCAACTGAGGAATGGATAAAAAAGTTGTGGTATTTCTATACAATGGAGTATTATTCAGCTATAAAGAAGGATCACATTGAGATATTTATCAATAAATGGGCGCAGCTTGAGACCATACTCATAAGTGAAATAAATCAATCTCGCATGTGTGAATACCGAATAGTTTCCCTAATGTAAGTAATGATTCAAATATATAAAAATAAGTGGTAATCATGATTCCCCATTAGGTGGCCTTGAAGCCTTATAAAGTTTTCACTCATTAATTAGAAAGGCTTTATTCTGGGCTTCTTGATACGGAAATATTTGAAGCTAGAGTATATGAAGTTTTATCCAAATATTTCAAGGAAAAAGACATACACTATGGTAACTACTATTAAGTCGGGTTATATGGTGGTGAAGTACTAGGTTGCTGAAACAGTCATGCTTTGACCTCTATTGTTATATTGTTATGTCCTGTTTTATCTCAATCTCCCCCTTATTCTTTTAAAAAAAATTATTTAGTCATTTCTTATGTTTGTCTTACTTAAGGGAAAAAATTTAAAAAATTAGGATATATATATATAGTAACTCTTTTTGATTTCCTATTAACTTGTTTTGAAGTCCTGTAGTACTCCCACGATCTTGTTTCAACTAATTAGACTCTGTTCCATTCTATATGATAGTATCAAGTTTGAAGACATAGGCAACTACTTTGAAGGCAATAAGATTCACTAAGATACCCATTCTGGTTTGACTATTGTCTTCTTTGGAAGTCCTGTAATGTTTACAATGCCTAAGTTTTATTGGTCTTGTTCTCTACTGTTTTGTCCAACTTTATAATATCTAATGAGATAGACAATTCTTTTTAAGGAAACAAGGGACAACGTTGATAACCATTGTTGATAACCTTGTACTCTGTTCTACACCATGTGCTATGTCTATCCTTGGTATTGACTGACAGCTTTGTTTTGCCATATTTGACTGTATTCTCCCCCCCCCCAAAAAAAGTAATAAGCACTAAGGTGTAATAAAATCCAAAATGTGTAAATTTTGTTGTAAAAAAGAGAGGGAAAAAAAAAGAAAAAGAGCTCTAATGGATATAACAGCAAGTGTGTTTAGGGGTGTTAAATAGCTGACTATATCAATGTTTTTGGATCATTGAACACAGCTGTTTGCAGTCTCCCTGTTTGAATGTCCACCTTGTATTCTTTGATACTGTGATTTGAGCAACTATTTTCAAGATGATAATATGTAATCTACTAACGGGTGATTTCTTACTGTTATGTTTTTTTTTTGTTTTGTTTTGTTTTGTTTTTTGTAGTTCTGTATTACGTGTACCCTTACACCGCTTTGTTTTGTTTTGTGTTTTTCTCTTTTTCCTCTTAAATAAAAATAAATAAATAAATAAATAAAGTTGTAGAATATAAAATCCATATAAAAATCAACAATAGTCTTGCACAACAATAATGAACTCATCAACAAATAAATCAAGACAATTCCACTGACAATAACTTCAAAAAATTAAATATATAATAAGCTTAACCATTATGTGAAAAGCTTCTAAAAAAATTACAGAGCTGTGAAGAAATGAAGAGGAATTTAGAAAATGAAAGAATGTACCTTATTCTTGGATTGATAAAATTAATATTATTAAAATTACTATATTATCCAACAGAATCCAGAGATGTAATGCAATTCTTTTTTTTTTTTTTTTTTGTCTTTTTCCTTTTTATTGGTACCAGGGATCGAACTCACGACTGCCTGCTTGCAAGGCAGGCGCTTATACCACTGAGCTAAATCCCCAGCCCCTGCAGTTCTTAATAAACTGTGAAAATTACTGCTCAGAGTACTAGAGGAAAAACTCTCTAAATCATTTGGAATCCGAAAAATTGTGGAACAGCTAAAGCTAACCTGAGGGTGGGAATATGCTGAGGCATGACCAAAGCAGATGTCCAGCTGCACTGAAATGCATCAGCAGTAACAGCAACACAACAGGCACTCGCACAGAAGCAGACACGTGGAATAAATGCATCCACCTCCCACGCTCTGATTTTTGAAAAAATAGCCAAAGTATACTAGAGAAAAAATTTCCTCTTTAGCAGATGTTGACAGGAAACTGAAGATTCACTTACAGAAGACTGAAATTACATTCTGTAATCTGTCACCCTGTGACCAATCAAATCAGTGTGCATCAGAGAGCTACATGTAAAACTGTAAGAAGAATGCAAAGACATCATCTCTCCTCACCTTGTTATCATTGTTCTAAAAATTTTACTAGTGCAGAAAAAAGAAAGAAAGAAAGAAAGAAAGAAAGAAAGAAAGAAAGAAAGAAAGAAAATACATTAAGACAGAAATAGAAGTTTTGGTTACAGATGTTATGATTTCTATATAGAAATGCAAAAAAAACCATGAAAGACAAAATTTCTCTTAGACATAATAAATTATAAAACAACATTGCAGGATACATAGCATATACATGTGCAATTACTTTCCTGCATGGCACTGGTAATGA